ACCACATACTAAAAGGGGCAGGGGGGAGGTAGTAAAGGGCAGGTAGAAGGGGCAAACTCTGTAAGTATTTAACCAAGCCCCTGACACAGATCGGGGCTCAGGGCTTTGAGAATTATCTCCCCCAAGTTCACTATTGTAATAAACTCTCTGCTTCCTGTAAAAATGGTCTCGGTGACTTTGCTTCCCTTGTTGTTCCCCAACACTTCTGGCGCATTGGTCTGGAACCGGGTTAGACCAAAGTTGGCATTTGTGCCTCCCTGGCTTAAAAAGTGCTTTGAGGACAACTGTAAGATTCTGATGGCGAGAGTATTGGCTACCGGGACTGTTAAAAAAAAAGAAAAATGAGGCTCTTAAACTACAGAATCTTAAGACGTTGCCACTTTTCCTGGAATACCCTCTTACTGCCAGTCCAGAACCCAGGCATCAATGATTACCGCACAGTGCAAAATCTCTGAGGGGTCAATCAAGCAACATTGACTTTACACCCAGTGGTTCCAACTTGGTTGGCCCTGATATCAGCAGATGCAACCTGCTTCTCATGTTTGCACTTTGCTATATATAAAGGAGACTGATTACATATTCCAAGGTATGGGATCCCCATCTCCACTGGGTAAGATCAGACAATGGACAAGCTCTTGTGGCAAAAGTTGTTAAACAACTGACAAAGAGACTACAAGTAACCTGACACCTTCACACAGCATACTGGCTTCAGAGTTCAGGCAAGGTTGAAAGGATGAAGCAGATACTAAAAACTCAGATGAGTAAACTCTGTCAGAAGACTTGCCTAAGACTTGGGAACAGATCTTGCCATTAACTTTACTTAAGATTAGGTGGAGCCCCAACAAACAAACTGGGTTCTCACCCAATGAGATTCTCTTTGGAAGTCCAACCCCACTTAGTAAAAGGCATTAAGAGAGATTTAAAAAAAAGAAAATCTAACCTTGCTCCAACACCTGAGCAGACTGGGAAAAGTGCTTAATGTCCTGCACTGCCATGTTCGAGAAAAACCCCCGATCAGCTTAACCACTGATGTGCATTTCTTTAAGCCAGGTGACCAGGTTTGGATAATACAGTAAAATCTCCAGCCTCTCCCTCCTCAGGGGAGGGGACCCTATCTGGTGATCCTGACTACTCCCACGGCAATCAAGGTGGAAAAAAAAAATCACCCTATGGATGCATCCCACCCAAGTAAAGAAAGCAGCTTCCGAGTAGAAGAGTCAGCTGGACTCCAACAATCCACTCAAACTGACCCAAAGGAGGGGATCTTCAGCCTTGCCCTAGTCACAAACCAGAAGCTGACTAGTCATGGTGGAAGCTTGAGGAATCAGCTGTCAGGCAATTAAGGAACTGTTGCTTCTCACAGTCAGAATTCTGTGGTAATGCTTGTGTGCTGCCATCCCGCACCTATCTCTCTTTTCAGCAGTGTAACCTTGCCTTGCTCAATAGGAATAACAGTAACTGCCCCAGCGGGATAAAACCATGTCAAAAGGCTTTCTCTGACAGTTTTCTCTTTCTCTCCAGCTAACAGGATGTGGTATTTGGGTGCTTCTATTCTGGGTTCCTTTTGCAAATCTTATGTACTACTTGGCCTAAAAATGCCATTACATAAAATAGATAATAAAAGAGATCACAGATAAAATAAAAAAGATTGCTCATGTTCCAGTTCAGACGTGAAAAGGGGAAAATCCTGATGCTTTGCTTGGAGGATGGTTCGAGGATTTAAAACGATGTGAGGGGCTGTATTACTTACGGTGTTGGGCTGTCTTATACTCCCATGTTTGCTGCCATTGCTCATATGTTCCCTATCAACCCCGATAAAAGCCACAGTGAAACAAAAAAATGGCTACACAATTACATATATTACAAGGCTACCAAAGAGTAAATCCCATTCCTAGAAAAAAGAAACACAGGATGCACTTTGATGAATAAAATGTCAAACCATCGAAGTTGGGAATGTTGAAGCCAGCTTGGCTATTTTCCTGGGATTTACTGTATCTGGTGTTTCTCCGCTCTGAGTCTTCAAGCAGCTTTCTGCTAGCTCTGTAACACTGCAAGCCTCCTGCTAGCCCTGCAAAGTTTCCCACAATTGTAATCACATATTAAAAAGAGCAGGGGGGAGGTAGTAAAGAGCGGGTAGAAGGGGCAAACTGTATTTAACCAAGCCCCTGACACAGATCAGGACTCAGGGCTTTGAGAAACTATCTTCCCTGAATCCGTGGGCATAATAAACTCCCTGCATTCTAGAAAAATGATCTCGGTGACTTTGTTTCCCTCATCATTCCTGCAACAACACAGCCATTAAAAGACTTTACATCATGGGATGAGAATGTAGCTCAGTGGCCTACTGTTTGCCTAGCATGCTCCAGGTCCTGGCTTCTATCCCCAGTACCACACATGCACACACATTTTTTTTTCTAATTTCACACCAATCATCAAATTTGTCCAAAGAACAGGAGAAAAGGGAACAATAAAGCCAGCATTATCCTTATACCATAAGTAGACAAAGATATCTCAGGAAAAGAAAACTACAGGCCATTATTACTCATTAAGACAGACTCTTAAGAACAAAATACTAGCGAACCAAGCCTAGCCACTTACTGATGTTTTTACAATTACCGATGGAATTAAATTACAGGTGGAATTTATGGCAGAGTAATTTGGTTACCATACCCACTCCGTTTGAGGGGTTTGGATAAACCCTTATAAATTCTAATGCTCATGCACAATGGACTTAAGTCTTTCTCCATCTTCCTTCCCTTCTGTGTGTATTTGGCATCTAGCACTTGTCAAAATTGTGCTGGGTGCTGCAAGCATGTTCTCTGTCCTTATGTGGCTTACGAGGAGACAAAAGGATGGATACAGAAAAGGTAAAGGGAAGTCTCCGGAACATAGGAGTCCTTGTCCTTTTCCAGGTCTCCCACCTAATGGAGCAGGAAACAGGGTCCTCTTAAAATTTACTAAGAGCATGATGAGCCTGAAAGTCATCAAGTCAAGGGACTTGCCTTTTTTTTTTTTAAACAGCGATTTATTTCATTTGGAATTTTCCTGCAGGCGGGGCTTGGTGGTTAAGCCTGCAATCCTAGCTACAAGGGAAGGCAACGATCCAGAGACTCCTGTTTGGAGGCCAGTCAGGACAAACAAGTTCAGGAGAGTCCATCTCAATCAGTGACTGTCAACCCAGCTGTTCAGGGACCAGGCTAGCATAAACCCGAGGCCTTGTCTCAAAAAGGAAGGTTTCTTGTTTTAAGTGATACGTTAACACATAAAATTGTACCCACTCTTTAGGTGCTACTTGATGAATGGACACATCAGATTAAGCACACCCATCTGCTTTATCATTTCTTCATGGCGAAAACTTTCAGAGCCTGTTCTCCTAGCTTTTTGAAATGCACAGAATTATTACTGTGCGCTAGCCTGTGTCACAGCACACCAGAGCTTCTTGCTCCTGTCACTTAGTACCCATTGATCCCTCCATTTCTCCTACTCTCCCAGTCTGTAGCGTAACTTTTGTGAGAAGTACTGAGTCGGATTCCACATGAGAGAAATCCTGGGGTTCCGGTCTTTCTGTGCTTGCTTATTGCGCTCCATGTAATGACCTCAGGTTGCATCCACGCTGTAGCCCACGGCAGGATGTCGTTCTTTTTGTGAGCAAGAAGTATCCCAGTGCACATTTTTTGGATACACGTTCAGTTATATGTTCCATTGCCATGGGTTTTTTATAAAGTAGCAGAGCGAAAGATCCGTCCAATTCCGTCCTTAAGTTCAGCCCCTCCTTGTTGACAGGTCCCACCTTGACGGAATCCGTCAGGCTATCCAAACTGTTTCAGAGTACCTTCTCCACGTGTTCTACTAGGTGGGCGCTGGGCCACGCAAGAACAGGCAGGGGCCGGGGCGGCGAGGCGGGTGCACGAGTGTTGCGGGGAGGGGGGCGCTTAGAGACATGCCGGTCCAAAGAGGCGACAGGGCGCGGGGTCAGGAGCGCGGGGGTAAACGCGAGCGCTTTGGCGGGGAGGCGCGTGTGGGGCACAGGCATACCTAGAACGCAGGGATATGGAGGCGCACACGGACACCCAGGCGAGGAGCACGAGGGCGCTGTCACGAGGGGCACGCGGAAGCTCGGGAGCCGGCTCGTTCCGCCGCGCGGGGGCGCGAGCGCGCAGGAGCGGAAAGGAGGGACCCCGCGTGTGGGCAGGGGCTGTGTGGTGCGCAGGGTCTCTCGGGGGCGCGCGTGCGCCAGCTCGTACGTGGGCACGCTGACCCCAACCAGCTACGGAAGCCTGCAGCAGCTGTGACGACGCCATTTGCCTCCCGGCTGAGGTCTGTCGTTAGGGGACCTCACACGGTGTGCGGAGGGCCTACTACTGACAGCCTCTTGCAGCTTGCCCACCTAAAACTTAGCTTTCCAAAAGGAGTTGTAACCCACCTGGACTTACAACCCACCCCACCCAGGTTACCGTTCGCGCCATGCCAAAGAATAAAGGTAATGCTGCGGGGCATGGTTCGGTTGTATTTGGTATTCCCAGTCCTGACACCTACCGGGTGCAAGGCGCAGTGTCAGTTCTCCCTGTCTGCTTGCCGCTGGACCTGCGAGTGTGAGCTCGGGAGGGGCGCAGGGAACTCACTGCTCTTTCCCAAGGGGGACGTCGGGGTGGACCCCACACCATTTTTGTAGCAGCTCCTGTGGGAGGAAGTGAGCTTTCGCGATAGAGATGTGTAAGGAGACCTCGCTGCGCGCTTCCTCGACTTGGCAGATGGATCCCCCTTGACCTTCCCGGGACGTTTTGAGCAGTGCTTAACTTTCAAGGGCTACCTTAATGACCTCGTACTTAAGTAGGTGTTTTTATGGGCTGTTAAGAGTATCGTTGAACACAGGCCTTTTTCCTTCTAAACGGTGGGTGGACCTTGCAACACTCTGAGGTTTCATCTTCACGGCTTATGCTACTCCAGCCCTTCACAGATTTTAATACTCGTTTCCCAAAACTTGACTTGTTCCATGTTTTAGCAAACTTTCACATTCTTTTCCGATAATGGATATTGTGCGAGTGAAGACGAAGAGGTTCCTTAGTTCCACAGTTAGATGTTCACAATTGGATTCGACAGTAAGTTTACTTGGCAGTTCCAAAGCAGCAAACCTAACCCTGGTAAAAGCAGAAGCGTGCACAATCAAGACTGAAGGAAGCTCTTCTTGTAGACCTAAGGCGACCTCTCGTTTTTAATGCTCCAGTTTCTGGAAGAAAACTTGTCGGCAGAAACAAAGTTTTGCTATATATATATATGTATTTTTTTCTCCCATATATATATATATATATATATATATATATATATATATATGGGAGAAAACCGTATTTCATAGCGCACAGTACCTTTCTTGGATTCTTGGGACCCAGACTTAACCCCCTGTTCTTTGTGTCTCACACCTGGCAGCAGGGATTCTACTTCATTTCCTCATTTCACTGATGTGTCATGTTTATCCCTTATAATGCCTAGGATTCTGTGCCTGACTTAGTGCAGAGTGCCCTGTAGACATCCCAGCTCGTCGATTCCAAAACCGACTGGCAGGTCGTTTTTGTAGCCTGGGTTTTACTGGTAATTACACTTGGGAAGACTGGTCTGGGGAGGAATGTCTTCTTATCTAAGTTAGAAGAAGAATTACACTTTTCTCCTAATGATACATCCAGTTTCCTTTCTATGCTATAAACTCTGATGATACTATCTCTCCTATGCATTATCCTCCCTATTCCTGACTCAGTCGGGATAAATAATAGGTTCCCTATGGTGCGTCCCACACAGGACTTTTAAACTAAGTAAGATCTAAGAAAGTCCTCATTAGAGGAGGTCTCCAAAAACACATCTAGTTTGTTTAAGCAAGGGTGTGTATGAATTTTGTGTTAATTTTAGTTTTACATAGCGACATAAAATATTACAAAGAATTACAGTTTTTGAACGTGCCTTTTTTAAGGCTTGTCTCAAAAGAATAGAAACTGCACAACTTTTTCATTGCAGTGAATTGAGTATGGTTAATTCTGGTAAACTTTCAACAGACCATTTTTATATGGTATTTAAGACACAGAAAGGAATATGCACAATAAAATAAACCCTGAACATTTGAATTACAGCATGATTAAAAAGCCATCGTGCACCTATTTGAAACCTCTTCCTCTTTCTCCCTTTTTTCTGTAGATAAGTGCCATCCTGAGTTTTGATGTTTTTGCTCTCTCCTTAGTTCACAGGGCACATCTCTTGACCCCAAATTAATTAATTTTGTCATTTATGGTGGTATTGGGGTTTGAAGTCAGGGCCTCAGGCTTGCTAGGCATGTGCTGTACTTGGCTTGAGCTGCACCAAGCTGTTTAGTTGTTTCTGCTTTCTCTACCACCACAGGGTCTGTGTAGGGGGGTTGCCTGGGACCAGCACGGGGCCCTGATCCTTCTACTTAGGCTTCCTGTGTAACTGGGATCCCAGGTGTGAGCACTGGCCTGAGACTCTGAATTTCATAAGAAGCAGCTTTCTAAGGTAGAAATAAATGCTGTAATTTTAAATATCACAAGCCTTGTAACATTGTCATGATAACGGCTACCCGAGTAAAGTTACATATTAGTTGGGGCTATATGTTGGATGACTTTGGGTTTGCCTCATTCTTACTCTGCTCCTCACATCAGGGAAATGGCCATCCATTGGCTCGCTTATGAATATTATGGTAAGGTGCACTTACACCTTAAGAGGGTTACTACAAAGGATTTAAAAATCGCCATCTTTTAGAAATACATGAATGACTGATAGCGTATTTCAAAAACTACCAGACCTTGTTATATAACTTAAAATGCAGCAACCCAGCGATCCTTTTCCTAATGCAGCATATTTTGTACAGTGTGTTTTGACGTTGTAGTGTGGCTAATACTTGAAGTAGTACAGTACTTTTCTCTTTCTAGGAAATTAGTTTGGGTGTGTCTTGAGAGTGGATCAGACCTTGAATGTGAATGGGTCAAGAAATTGAGGAAGCTCCCTTATCTTTCAGACTATCAGGGAGCATATGAGACTACCACAAGGGGGAGTTTGTGCATTTGAGAAGTAGATGGTTATGTTTAGAGACCAGCTGTGCACACGCTGACTCTTCTCCTTGGTCTTTCATTACTTCACAGCCTTCCTCCCATCTTTTGAAAATGGGATCTGGCGGAGAAGTACTCCTATTATCCCTCAGTTACTTAATAGAAAAATCTCAGAAGGAAATACCATTAAGAAATAATAGCTGAATGTGTTCAATTTTAGAGAAGTGTGCATTTAAATCTTTAGTATGGTGAGGTTGTGATGAACGTTAGGGTGACAGAGGACTAAATGTTTTTCTTCTTGGCTGATGGGAGTTTAAATTAGGAGAGCTGATCCAAAGCCTGAGGAACTGAATGCATACCCATTAACTCGGAAATTCTTCCTCTGTACATTTATTCTGCGGAAGTTGTTTGTAGGCTAATGTTCAACACAGCAGAATTTAATGACAGTGAAACAATGAAAGAAATCAAAAACCGGGACAAATACACGTTAGTGGTCAAGATGTTGGACCAAGTCTGTAGTCCTTGGCATGACATGATACTCGGGACAGATGATTGAGTGTGGTTAAAACACACTACAGAAAAGAATGACACCACCCTGTTTTGCTTTGGAAAGCGTGGACAACGTGTTAATATTTGTCGCTGGGTGATAACATTTTCTCTCTCCTACACTTGTATATGAGGTGTGGTCTTATTTTAGAAATACCCAAGCACAATTGCTCGAGAAAGGTTACACATTGGTAGCTGTCCCCTGTGATCGGAACCTCAGACCAATGACAAATGTTCTGAGAAGACTGAAATTTGGTAATTTTCCTTCCTTTTTGGCAGTATGGGGATTTGAACTCTGAGCTCATGCTTGCTACATAGGCACTCTACCCCTTGAGCCACACCCTCAGCCCTGATTTTGCTTTGTGACTTTTCAGATCGGGTCTTGTGTTTTTGCTTGAGCTGACATAAAGACCTCCCTCATCTTCCTTCCTGTGCCTTTCAGGTAGCTGAGATTTCAACAAGCCATGCCCAGCTTGTTGGCTGAGAGGGTATCTCACTAACTTTTTACCCAGCCTGGCTGGGACTGGGATTCCCTGATCTCCATCTCCAGAAGGCTGGGATTGTAGGCATGTACCACTACACCTGACCCTTAAAATTAGGTACATTTTTGAAAGTGTTGTTTCCTGTTCTGTTAATGTAGCTACTTAGTGAAATGCTTCTAATTTTCAGGTGGCTTTACAAACATGCTTTGAAAGTCATTTTAGTTTGTTTCATAATTCTGTGTGAGAAACATTAGACTAGTACAATTAATTTTGTATTTACTTTTACTAACTAGGGAAAGGAGGTAAAAACAGGCGCAGAGGTAAGAATGAAAATGAATCTGAAAAAAGAGAGCTGGTATTTAAAGAGGATGGGCAAGGTAAGACTTGCTAAGTTAGGCTCTTTTTAGAACAGTTTTTATTGTTGCTAACATAAATTCCAATATGTAACCTAGAAGAGAGCCATTTGTTTGTTTATTTATTTATTTGTTATCTTTTTATTTATTGCTGGGACTGGGGTATGAACTGGGGGTGGTGCCCTTGCTGGGCAGTGGCTCTACCACTTGAGCAGGCCCTCAGCCCTTTTGTGCACTGGCTGTTTTTGAGAAGCATCTTGAGCTTGTGCCCAGGCTGGGCTGGACCTTGATGCTCCCCATCTGCCTCTTGAGTAGCCGGGATTGTGGCCGTGAGTCACTGCACCTGGCAAGCAATGTGTTTTGAGGGTATTTTTCCATACATTTAAACAAATGTTGAGTGAGTCTCTTTTTTACTTTCCTCAGAGTATGCACAGGTAATCAAAATGCTGGGAAATGGACAATTAGAAGCAATGTGTTTTGATGGTGTCAGGAGGTTATGCCACATCCGAGGAAAACTGAAAAAAAAGGTAGACATGTACGGTCTGTTTTACTTTGATATGCAGTGGCCTATAAAATGGTTCCTTTCACTGTAAGAGCAAGAAATAGGTTTTTGTGAGTTTCCAAAAGACTTTGATGAAAAAAGGTGATTTACATGACGGTGTAAAAAGGAAGATCAGGAGACCCTTGGTCATTAGGACCTGCTCAGCCTCAGCTGTATTCCTGCCGGAAGTGTTTACTAGGATTGGAATAGTGAGGAAATAAGTAGACGAGTCCAGGCTACAAATCGAATGGTCTGGACTCAATTAAGTGTTTCTTCCACGTAAGAAAAAGAAACGCTAGAAATTGTTTAAGATTAAAAGAGACTTCACAAACTTAGTAATGCAGTACACTAGTAAAAATCATGGGAGTTTTGGAATGGGGGAAATGCAGTCCTTAACAGCACACAAGACAGGTTTATAAATCAGATTACAAGTTTCTTCAGTGTGTGTTTTAAAGTTTTTTCAAGTCTCTTCATCCTTCCTCTTCCAAAATTAATGGTACTTTTAGGGGCTGTCTTTCTCTATTTGGGCTGCTAGTACAAAATACCACTGTGTGGGTTGCTTATAAATTGTAGGGTTTATTTCTTACAGCTCAGGAGACTATTCTCCTGGAGACAGTTTAACGCCTGGTGAGGTTCTGCTTCTTGATTCATAGTGGCTTGAGTGTTGAGAGGGACCAGTGTGATTTCTGGGGCCCCTTTTATCAGGGCACAAATCCCATCCATGAGGCTCCTCCCTCATAGCCTTATCAACTCCAAAGACCACCCCCCCCCAGTAAGTCACGTTAAGGGTTAAGACTGCAACAAATGCATTTTCCAGGGACACAAACACTTCAGGTAACAGTAAGATCTATACTTATGTTGATTGATTGCTGGATAGCTGTGTTTGCATAGAGAAGTAATTTTTACATATTTGGGTAATTAACCATCTGAAGGATGACTTGTGATTTTGGTCCCTTTCCACGATGAATGATCATTTTTCGACAATTTCAAATGTTCGAGTAGTTGAAATAAAATTGCCCCCTGTTTACGCAGGCTCCATATATACTGTGTGTACTATACTTTTTCCTACATTTTTAATTATATTTTTTTGCTTTAATTGCAGTCCTGTTTCTAGGGAGGAGCTCTGCCATTTGAGCCATGCCTGCGGCCCTCCTCGCACCTTTTTCTTTTCTTTAATGGTGCTGGGGTTTGAATCCACGTCCTTGGGCATGGCAGGCAAAAACTGTACCACTGAGCTACACCGTAATTGTTTCTCAAAAACCTATTCATTTGTTTACCTTGTTAATTTTGCGAGACGCCTGTCTCTGGGTAGCCCAAGGTGCCCTGAAGCTTGCTATTTGGCACAGGCTCGTCTTGAATTTGTGATCCTCCTGCCTTGGCCTCCTGGGATTACAGCTAGGATTACAGGCCTGCACCACCACCTTGTCCCTTTTGCAACCTAATTCTCGACAGATGCTTTTCCCAAAGTGGGGAAATTGAGGATCTAGTTTGTGGGGACACACATCTAACATTGTTCTGTACCATATATCTTTTAAATAATATGCAGGAAATTGTCTTTTACAGGTTTGGATAAACACCTCAGATGTTATATTGGTTGGTCTACGAGACTATCAGGTAAAAAAAAAAATCTCATTTGAATTTGTACTGGGCCCTTGTTACTTAGTGGTTAATGTTTGAAAGATCACAGTATTGGCATCTTTGGCCAGTTCCTGCCCATAGGCTCTCTCACCATTCTGCCATTAACATTATTACGGACCCTTGAGTCAGAGATTACGGCTCTTTTATTGTTCAGAATAATTCTCCAAGTTGATTAATAGTATATGTATCTTGTGGGAAAATGCTTTTTTCTCTTACTATTTTAAATATACGATGCAATAAATAATCCCTGGTAGGTGTAGATAAAAACCACAGATCCTTCTGTTCTCATTCATCTGAAGGCCGTGTGTTAGATGCTCTGGGATGTTAAGAGATGGCGATTCCCCAACACTGGTCTGTGAAGTAATAATGGCTCAAGCTGACGTTTTTCACTGCTCTTATGGTAAAATGGCAAAATTGTCCATTTTCTTTAGCAGTTCTAAATTACATTTCCTAAAAAGAATGACAGCCTAGGGAGGAGGTGTTCATTTTACAAAGGAGTCTTCCTTTCTAGTTTTCCCCCACTTTCTTGTTAGGGCATGTCAGTTGTACTATGTGTGTGGGGGTCTTTCATCGTGATATTTCCATATATGCATGCAGTGCACTCTGATCACTTCACCCCATTACTCTTTGGATCCCCCACAGTCCCCTTAGAAACATCTGTCTCACAGTTTGTTTGTTTGTTGTTTGTTTTAATGGGTTTCATTATGACTTTTCCATACATGCACACAATGTACTTTGATCCTATTCTCCCTTGGTAAAACAAAAATTTAGTAATCCTGTGGAGTTCCAGTCACTTACCACCTTAATGTATTTTTACTGGGGAAAAGGAGTTTTGCTGCATTGCCCAGGGTATCAACCTGGGCTCCAGGACTCAAGTGATCCTCCTGCCTCAACCTCCCACGTAGCTGGCACTGTAGGTGAGCCCCACCACACCCAGTTCATTACTTACGTCTTCATTTTTTAAATTTAACGATCTGGGAAACTGTTATTCTAGGAATGCAGATGAATAAGTCAACTCTTCCATTCTCTTGGGCCTTATGGTCTTGATAGTCTGCTGGTGGAGCATGGTGATGTGCATGCAAATGGTTAAAATACAAACTGTTCTTTAAGCATATGCTGTCAATTTAGGTAGGATGAGCACACAAGCTGTGGTCATACATAGCCCTCTGTAAGCTCAAGCTTGAAACTGCATATGCTTTGTGAGTTTGTGAAATCCATTTGATTTTCATGTAGAAGAAACTCATCCCTTTTAAGTTATGATACTGTGAAGTTTCCAGTGTGTCTATTGCTGTGCTTTGCAGGTTTCTGTAGGTATCTGTTAGGTCTCGCTGCCCTACACTTCAGGTCCTCTTATTTCCTTGTTGATCATTTGTCCAGTTGTTTCTTCTCATTATACAGTGGCCCCGTCAAGTCAGCTATTCAGTTTTTTACCTTTTATTATTATCCTAATTGTTGTTGGCTTAGCTGGAGGTTGAACTTGGTAGGCAGGCCAGCACTACTACTTGAGCCACCCCGCCAGCTCTTTTTTTTCTGCATCGGCCAATTTTGAGATAGGGTCCCACTTTATGCCGTGGGACCACCTTGGGCCGTGGTTCTCCTACTGGGCTTCCCTGTGCAGCCAAAACCACAGCCCCGTGCTACCGTGCCTAGCCATTGGTTGAGAGGGGGTCGTGTGAACTTTTTGCCTACCCTGGCCTGGAACCACTATCCTCCCAGATCTCCACCTCCCATGCAGCCAGGAACACAGACTTGAACAGCCATGCCTGGTTTGGAATTTGTTTTTTTGGAGAAGTTCTGTGTTTTCATTTTTATTTTCCATTTAGTGAGACTGTTGCGGGAATCTCAAGCTGAGATACAGGACACTGAGGCAATTCAGCAGGAAGCAATGGTTTAATTGTGCCGGCACAGACCCAGTGGACTCGTGTCGTCCAAGGGCTGAGCCCCTGAGAGCAAAGGGGTCTCACGTTATATACCCTTGCAAGCAGGTTACAGAAGCAAGAAGCAAACCTCAGCCCACATTTGGTTGCAGGTGACTTTACTGGCTATTCCATTCCCCCAGGGCTTTGTGACCTTCTTCATGTTTCAGTGTTTTATCTCTCTGCTTTGCCATCCCTTCCCCCTGCCTCATTACCAAACACACCCTGTCTGTTTCTCTTCTGGTCTCCTCCCTGCTACAAGACATCAGTCTCATCATCCCATCAGTATTTGTACATATGTTTTCCTTTAAGTCTTTAAATGTATTTATAGTAGTTGATGTAAAGTCCAACTTCTGGCCTCTGTGAGATATTTTTTGCAGTAACTGTTTTTTCTCTTGTTGGAGGCCATACTTTGTGTTCTCAAGGTCTCCTACTTTTTGGTGGTGTTATTGTTCAGAACTGAACATGTGAAATACAATGTAGTGAGTCTTAAACTGGTTGCTGCTGCTTTTTTGCTAGTGACTTTTCTGAGCAAATTCTGTGGCCTTGACTGCTTGGTTCCTTTAGTGGACAGTTCATGTTTTTGGTTGAGATTTTGTTAGAAGCAGGAAGCCTGCCAGGTGTCCTGATACCACCAATAATCCTGGTACCTGGGAGGTGGAATGCGTAGGAGCCTGAGTTCAAGGGTTAGTTACATGGCAAGACAGTCTCAAAACACAACAACAGCAACTATGCACTACGCTAAGCCTCCCAGTCTATGAGGGTGACTTTGTACAAGTTGGGATACACTGAGCCAGTCAACAGAGCACGCATCCTTAGTTTTCATCTCGTGCTTTGAAGAGTCTCAAGGTCAGTCAGAGCTGAGAATAGGGCCTTCTAGAGATAAGAGATTAGTGTCTTCTCTTTTGTGAGCATCTGCTCGGGCTTTCTAGATTCACAGAAGTGTGCTGGGGTGTTCCAATCTCCTGTGGACATCGACTTCTAACACTTTTACGTTTTTTTGGTTGGGCTTTTTTCCCCAGATGTTACCTCTGCTTAAAGGCATTGCACAGACTATTTTTCTCTGAATCCTTTGGGCAAAGGGTGGTGGAATATTGCTAGTGAATAAGCTCTGAATTATTTCAAATAAAGGAAAGCTTTACTGTAAGGGGGAGCTTCCGGGTACTACGGAATAGCTCTGTAGAGAGTGGTGTTTTGACAGAGGTCAGAACTTGTTCTACATCTTCCAGTGGCTGCTTCGTTGCTGATTTTCATGGCTACATGGAACAGGTATGAGAGGCATAGGAACAGAGTCTTAGGACAGGGCAAGTTAAAATACTAGAGAGCTTGGTCTTCTGACAGTCACCCATTTTTCTCCAACAAGCACTCTTCAGATTATCATGTGCATTTGATTATTTTCAGACTTCTGACAGAATCGATAGTGACAGACTTTGGCAGTATTCTCAACTCGTTAGAGAATTTCAGTGAGTCTTGGTGTCTGTCACAAGCCCCTCTCTTGGAGCAACAGCCCCTCTCTGTGGGGCCCAGCTAACTGGTGGCTAAAGAATAACAGATTGGAGAAGTTGATGGTATAATGGGAAAGCTTCAGTGTGCTTGTTCTGGGAAGACAGGTCTAAGGGGAGTTAGGAACAGCCTTGAGGTCATATAGCAGGGAAAGAACAAAGGCAAGACTTGGGTGTTTGCACAGCTAGTGCTCCTGGTGGGAGCATAATCTGAATAATCATCATCCCTGAGTCATGACACGAAGTGCTGCTGCTCAGGTGCAACCTCCCTTTGCTTCACAGGACAGACTTTGGTCAGATCCACAATGCCAGAATTAAAATAATGTGAGGGGGAAAGAGCAACTCAGAAAAGGACACTGTGTGAGAGACAAAGTGGAGTCTGGTTGACCATTGGATTCTCCTCCACTATGACTGTTCTGTGCCTCTGATTTAATAGACTCAATCATATAGTAGTTTTCTTTTATAAAAACTTCCAAAGTAGAAAGTTACAGGTTTTCTCTGAAACTACATATTTTCATTCAAATTTGAATCCCATGTGCATTTTAATAAAATCTTTTTGTATTTGTCTGCACGTACTGGCTCACTTCATATGGTCAGTGAATCACCATGATTATTTTAGTTGCCTCTCTTTGGATTTCTTTGCAATTAATTGTAAGGCATCAACAGGAACCTCTGCCCACTCACCAGTCTAGCTGAGTCAGGTTCTTTAAAAGTTGAGCATTTTAGGTCTGTGCTTCTCAGGGATGTTTGCACCAAAACCACCCGTTGGAAAGAGCTTTTCAAAATTCAGTTTCTGAGGGTGTGCCCCACATCTACTCTCAGTCTTAGAAAGGAGTTAAGTATTTTGAAACTGCACAGATCATTCTGATTGGCAATAAATCCTAAGAACCAGTTGCAACCACGAAAAGTCTGGCTGTGCGGCTGCTAACATGGAAGCATTAGCACTTTGTATTATCTTGTCACTCTGTCTCTTGGTTCTCTGGTGACAGCAGAATTACCCATGGTAGGCCATCTTACATGATGCTGCCAAGAGATGTGTCTAACATCTTTTCTGGGAATGTTCTCTCAGTCTCAGTCACCTGGTGCCAGAGTAGCATTTTAATCTTTAGTAATGATAGCTTTTACGATGTGGGCGAGAGCGTTTTAGCTTAGTCTGCAGGTTGCAGAGCATCCCAGACCTGTGAAGGTAAGAAAGCAGCAATTGTGCAGAAATCTTGTTGTTTAGAGGTCCAGGTGTCTGGGTTTTCTCACAGGAAGTCTCTGCTTTACATTTTCCTCAGAGCTCTTCTGATTGTGACCTTTCCTACAATTTGGGAATGGCCAGTACCCAGGGAAAGGGCTGAAACATTTTAAATAATTCTATACAAAGTCATTAAGATAGGAAACACGGTATAGGGAGAAAATAGTTACACAAGCATCAACTGAACAGAATAATGAGGAAAGGAAAAGCCACTCAGCTCAGGCCCAACTTCACACTGACATGTTTTTCTAGGACCCATTGTACTCTTTTTCAGTTTTGAATTGTGTTTCACCTATAAAGTTTACATTGCGGTTTTTCTGCTTCAAGAGACTTCTAATCAAAAGTATTACTAAGTAAGATGAAGGGGAAGGTTGTCTGTTCTGCTTTTATGAAGGTTAAATCTGTAAAGGGTCCTTTGCATGAATTCCTCAGTATTAGTTATATGCACCCTACCTTTGTTTTCGTTAATTTACCCCCAAAGGTTGTTTGTGTTTCTTTGTTTGTTGTGGTACTGGGGTGTGAACTCTTGGCCTACACCTTGAACCACTCCACCAGCCCTTTTTTGTGATGGGATTTTTTAAGGTAGGGTCTCTTGAACTATTTTGCTGGCACTGGCTTCAAACTGGGATCCTTCTGATCTCTGCCTCCCCAGTAGGTAGGCTTGTGCCTGGCATATGTTTGTTTGTTTGTGACAGACGCACGGAGTGAGTTTTTCCTTATTGTGTGTAACTTGAAAATAATTAGGAAACAAATGATACTTTGTTCTCACCAGTTTAAAACATTAATTGTTTATTTTTAAGGATAAAAAAGCTGATGTAATTTTGAAGTATAATGCAAATGAAGTTAGAAGCCTGAAGGCATACGGAGAGCTTCCAGAACATGGTAATGTCTATAGTGTTACCAAATGCTGTCATGTGCTGTTATGGTTCCTTAGGGATAACATGAGGGGTTTTGGTAGAATTGGGTCTGTTGTGTGTTACAAAATTTTAAGTATGGTAGCATTTTAGAAAGTTAAGTAGGAATCACTAAAAAATGTTCTTTTGGTGAGCAGTTGGTGAGTTTATAAGCTTTGAATGTAGAGCATCCAAGAATGCCATTTAGGAAACTTTTTCTTACTCTCTCCTTTTTTGGTACTAGGGTTCTCCTCCTTCTCCTGCTCCTCCTTCTACTTCTCCTCCTCCTCTATCTTGTTTTCCTTCTTTCTCCTCCTCCCTGTTCTCCCCCTCTTCCTCTCTTCTTCTCCTCCCTTGTTCTTTTTTCCTCCTTCTTTGCTTCTCTTCTTTCTTTTTTTCTTCTTTCTCCCCCTCTGGCTTCTTTTCTCTTCCTTCTTCTTTTCTTCCCGTTTTCCTTCCCTCCTTTTCTTTCCCTTCCCCTTCTCCCTCGCCTTTGTTCTCCTTTCTTCATGCCTTCCCTCTTGCCCCTGCCTTCTTAAAATACTGAGTTTTGAACCCAAGACTTCTGTGATGCTAGGCAGGCACTTGATCCATGCCTCCAGAACTGAAGGTATTTTTTAAAAATACAGTCTCACATCTTAGTCCAAGATGAACCCAGACTGTGATCTCCTACCTATGGGTTTCCGCACAGTGAGGGCCACAGACCTGGCTCATTTGCAGAGGTGTGATCCGAACAATTTTCTTTTTGCCTGGGCTGGCATTGAACCATAATCCTCCCAGTCTCCATCCTCCCCGTAGCTGGGATTATAGCTGTGAGCCACTGTGCCTGACCCCTGATAGTAGATTTGAACTCAGGGTCTTGGGGTCAGTAGTCAAGTGTACTACCTCTTAAGTCACCCCTCCAGGTCGTTTGCTTTCACTTGTTTTTCCAATAGGGTCTGTGGCTTCCTCAGGCTGGCTTCTGACTACCGTCCTAATTTCACAGTTAGGATTATAGGCATGATCTACCACACCCAGTTTACTGTTTTGAAATAGGGTCTTGCTAATTTTTTTGATCAGGCTGGTCTCAAAATAGGATCCTCCTTACTCCACTTTCTTAAGTAGCTGGCAACTTTATTTTGTTAATTCTTTTGATAGGGGGTTTCACTATGTACCCAGATGAGATCCCCCTGCCTCAGTCTCCTGAGTAGCTCGGGTTGCTGGTGTGCTGCACCATTCTCAAGAGACTGGCAGTTTTCATGTAAGCATTGCCAATTATGATACTTGTTTTGATTTTTATAGAGAACAATGTTCTTTTATGTGTTGGCATGGTTAGGAGTTGTGTGGTTTTGTATTGCAGTGCTGGGATTAGAACCCGGGGCCTTCACATAATGTAGTACTCAACCACTGAGCTACATCTTATCGGTCAGAAAGATTTACTCAATTCATGCTTACGCGTAAGAAATAAAACCAAAACAGAGCTGCTACACTTAAACTGCCAATAATTTCATCAGGATCCTCATGTTACATTCCCAAGCCCTTCATGATTCATGATTGTATCTACAGGGTATATAAAACAAAAATACTTATTTTCTTTCTGAAAGGCCAACATAAAGCATTGTCACTTGAAAACTTGGAAAGACTAAACTAAGACCATGCATGAATTTGTAAGCCTCAATGTTTTCTTTATAGGGCAGCTAGTTTATTTTTAATTCCAGTGCATTTTATCATAAAAATAGTAAGATTCTTCCTAACAATGATGATCCTCATGAAATTATTGGCCTTTTTAAAACTAGCAGCTCTTTTTGTTTTATGTCTTACAGGTATTTGACTAAGTCTCTCTGACTGGTGAGAACTCGCATACTATGAGGATATTTCTAGGCCTTTCTCAAATCCTTTCTGAAGGATATTTTGAAGGTTTTCAGTGAGTCTAATCAGAGCCTGTCGGCTTTACTAAAAATACTCTTTTGAACAAAAGAACACATGGCTCTTGTTTTTGTAACAATTTTTAAATGAATGAAGGATCTTCTGGGGGACTTTTATTAATTTGATCTCTGGGATTTTTGGTAAAGAAACATGCATGAATTGAAATAAAGAATGTGTATTGTTTTATGTCAGACCCATTTCTTTTCTTAATAATACTTAATAATATTTTGATTATTCAGTGGGCATTTTTGTTATTGTATGTTTAGCTAAAATCAATGAAATGGACACATTTGGTCCCAGAGAGGATGATGAAATCCAGTTTGATGATGTTGGAGATGATGATGAAGACATTGATGATGTAAGTATTATGACCCTTACAGATGTTTGGTGTATGTTCTTTATGGATTATATGTCTTATCTGGGAGAAAGTCCCCTTCTTACCCTGATATTTTCCTTTGGCTTGATTATGCTGAATACGTAAATTTAGGATATGTTTCTGAGCTTGAATATTCAGTACTTGAATATTTGGAACTAGCCAGAAACAAGCTGTTTATTCTCTGATTTATAATCCCTTGGGATATCTCTTTCTCTCAAAATCAGGATTCGTTTTGGCAGAAGCCGTGCCATAATCCTAGCTGTTTTAAGGAAGAGTACGTAAAGAGGTAGTCGTTGACAATTTCTTTTGTGTGTGTGCGTTGCTGGTAGAGGGGTCAGCATAGTGTCTTCCAAGAATTTTAGCAGTTTTGAGCTCATGCCTTTTCTGAAACAAAATATTTGTGTTAAAAAGACTTATTTGATACAGCGTTGAAATTGCAGCATCCTTTGACAACCTTCTTTCAATGGGGGCATGTTGTCAGGGTCCTGTTATTTTATCAGGTATCACTATTGCCCTAAACCTCATTTGGAGTTGCTGTGTGATTAATTTGTGAAAAACGGCTGTTCTTCCTAGCATAAAGTAGTGAGCTCACAAGAGTACTATGCTTTTTAGTGTTCTTTTGCTGTTCTACATTTAAATGAAATTCCTTGATACACATTTATTATGACAATTATGTATATGTATATATTCATGTATAAACATGTATAAGTTATGCTTAGCAAGCACTCTGCCCCTCACCTTTATCCTTAGCAGTATATCCTGCAGTATATTTAAGTCAAAAATATTTATTTTCTTAAACGTATGTATACCTATCCATACACACACACACACACTATCCCATTCCAAACCATTGACAGTACTTATACTGTGAATGTGTGTGTAACTGGGATGGCAGTATAGCTTACAGTTCAGTGAGGTTCTTCTTTTAATTCCCCAGTAATGAAAATGTATAAAGCCAAAAATAATGAGTGTTTGATTAGACACTAAGTTGAAAGTTTAGAATACGTAGAGTAACTTTTCAAAAAAGATTGCATGTGGCATAATTACCAGAGCTTGTAAAAAATGCACAGGGCCAATCTTGGGGAAGTCATTTGGGTCTCAGGTGACCCTAATGTTCACACCTCATGGAGAATCCTTGATCAAAAACAGTGATCTCTAAAATTTTATTCCCTAATATCTTTGTAAGAGCATCTTCAAGCTACTCAAAGAAGTTGAAAATTTTCAGTTCAAGTAAACATCAGCTAATTTTACAACTTGCATTTGTTTATATGTGGTTTGTCATACCATCCCATTTTCTATTTTTACATCATTCCAAACCATTTACATTACTTATACTGTAAAATAACATAGCCTCTACCCCTATTCTGTACCACTATTGTGTGTGTGTGTGTGTATTTATAAATTGTATATACAAGTTTTAAAACATACATCACTCCAATGTTACATAAGTCTTAAAGCTATCTAAGTGTAAAAAGGAAGAATGGTGAGTAGTGAACATGTTCTTCTAATTTCTTTGTACAATTCTCTTTCGGGACCCTAAGCCAAAGGAGTCTTACGACAAAACAATATTAATGATACTTTCCTGAGACAAGAGACTGACATATCATGTCACTATTGGTTGTGGCTTAAGGGCAGACCTGAACATTTTGTCAGCTGACCTTAGTTTTAGATAATTAAAGATCCTGTCCAGACTGTATGTATTAATACAAAGCTGTGTGCACAGATGATAGACTAGATGAGAGTGTAGGCACAGTAACCATGTTTTCCAGAAAATATAATCTATGCCACTATTTCTTCTGGAACACTTTGAGTGGGCTGAGAGGGGAAGGGATTGGAAAGAAGTGGGACTATTAAGGAAATTTGGTATTTTGACTATTTCATAAAGGCTGCTTTTGTTTAAGACCTGAGGACTCTACTACTTCTAGAGCAGCTCTCTTTTTACAGGTTTGAACATCTGCAAAAATTTAAATTACACTAAATTAAAATTAAGTTAGGGTAGATTTAGTGTTGCTCCTGTGACCAGATCGACTCAAATTAGAGAATTTGGTTTAGTGATACTTCTATTCGGAAAGAATTATATATATTCCTTAGTGTGTATGATCAGCCTCAACACAGCAGATCTCTAGAAACAGAGAAGGAAGGAGATGCTGAGTTGTATTGTGGATATTATGGATAGTGTGTAACACGTATAAGGATATTATGCATAACATATAACATTCTGAAAGCGAGAAAGATATTCTGGCAACAGAGAGGAATAGAGGAAAATTTGATATACAGAATGTTCATAGAACTTTAAGGGCGTCTTACATTGCGTAGAATGTTGTAATGATTATTTTCATCCATCTCCTGTTCTTCTTGCTTCCAGATCTAAGCTGAACCCAATGTGTTATATCCCGAGTATTCTCAGGGTCGTTCTACATTCGGGATCTTGGTCGTCAGCTGTTAAGAGTAAGACTTCATTTAGCTTGCCAAGGAAAGCAGATTGGTTTGTTTGCATTTTAAAAAGTATTTGTTATATTTCTTTGAAGACTGAAGATGTTGTGTTAACTGACATGTGAAAACGTAGATGTAATGCTACCATGTGCACTGATAAACCAATACTTCATTTCTAGTAAACGAATGCCATCACTCAGTTGTTTCCCTTGTGACCAGAGTGGATTTTAGCCGCTTTCAGAACCGTTATGTTCTAATTATCTGGACGTTCTCTGGAGACTTTTTAAATCTAATTTATAAATTTTTAGAATTCATCAACATAAATCTGCATTTGGAGTTGAAGAATATCGATCTGTTTTTGAAATGCATGTACCCATGTGTATTCTTAAAACTTCGATATTTTATACATTCTTGTTTGTCATTTACATTGCCACTGTACCAAAAACAAGCATTTTCAAAATGTAAATTTAAAAGCATGGGTAGCAATTTGGGGTTTGTAACATTAGCAGCTGGAGAAATTGAATACTAAGTGATAACCAGTTATCTTGAGGTTTTAAGGGAACAAGAAAGTGAAAATAACTATGCTGTTGTATTTACATAGAAAAGTTTTGAAACAAGACAGGTTGTAGTGGTACATAAAACATTTACTTTTACTTTTACAAAATAGGTTAGGTAAAAATGTCATTTTACTCTAATTAAATTGCATTGTACAAGTGAAGAGCCAGTCTCATAATAAAAGAGGTCTCTATTTTCCTGATGCAAGACTCACAGAAATAAAACCATAATAAAGTGTCACGTTGAGCATCTGGTCTTCTTACTTTGTGTTACTGGCATGTTGTTACACATACTGATATGATACACATACTGGCACATCTGACTAGCAATTTGTATCATAGTCTCTCTTTTTAAGATTTGCTTATTTTATAAATTTGTTAACTCTAATAAAGTAAGATCTGGCACACAGTTCAATCGTCTACGTCTTTAAGGAAACAGAGTCATTGATGAGTTTGTAAAACATTCTCCCAATTATTTTCACAACTGAAAATAAGGGAATACAACTTCACATGGCTTTGTAACAAAAAGGTAACAACTATGAAGATGAATAAACCTGCATTTGACTGTGTCCCATTTTGCCATACATCACAAACACACCAACACCATAGATTGAAGATACGAGGCCGGGTTATTTATTTCCTGAAATAAGTAAAATAAGAAATATAAGTACACGGTGTAGTTTGAAGTTCTTACTCTGTGGAGTTCTGAACACTGACATAAGTGGGATGTGTCTTGAGAGTAAGTACTGCTTTTAACACTTAAGTAAGCAGATTTAACGAGCTGACTTACCGTCAGTGTTGATGAGTAATCAAAACTCACATTTCAGAGTAATACATTAAAGGAAATTGCTGAATTTACAGGGTATATCCTCTTGCCGTACTTTGCCTAAAGCTTAGAATTGTGCTTCATGAGTGTAAAACTCCTCTTACACTTTTCTTCTAGCGATACGGTTTGTCTAAAGATTCTTTGAAAAGACAACTGTGGTTGCAATTTGTGGATCTTTGTTGTGAAACACTTTTGCTTTTGATTGATAGTCCATTTTACCATTTCATCCTGGAAAGTCTAAAATTGCAATTAAACATTAAAGCAGGAATAAGACACAGCTCTATGTACTCTACTTGAAGGAGTTGTTTTGAAAACATTGTGTGGAGATTTTCTGGTTTCATGGTTTTGATTATGTTCTAAATGGTTTTAGGCATTGTTAGCATAAGCTGGGTTATTTGTCAGAGTCTCTGGCTCTGTCTGTAACAGTAGCGCAGACCTGATACAACTGTCTTCCAGACAGTGGTATGGGCCTAGGTACTTCATCACCACCTATCTGACACTCAGACCAGTCAGGGCAGCAGTGCATGTTCAGATAACATAGTGCGTCACCTGGCAGTAAGAGTCACATGGATGTGGTGACAGCAAATGCTGTTAGTACTTAGGGTTTTGTTTTGTTTTTTTCTCAGAAATGGTACCTTAACCCCACAATCATTCACACCTGGATTGGGGCAAAAGCCTGGGGTTCCCTTCTGCCTGTGTCAGCTGTTGTGTCCATTACAGAGCAAATGGTAACTGGATATGGTTTGAGCTAGGCAAATAAATTCTTGGGACCTTCTTTGCTCATGTAATACCCAGGGCTTTTCTCCTAGACTTCTTCAGCTCAGTGGCCTGTGGGTGCAAGTTGAAGTATGATGAATCTGTGGCCAGGCAAACTTTCTGTTGGAATTCTTCTGGCAGTACCTCGAGGATGGGGCAACAATAAGACTATTTACACTGCTCAGTGTCACATCAGCCTGCACTGTAGAGGGACAGGAGTAGCTCAAAGGTTTTCTTGCCCTACCTGTTAGTGACAGGCATTTGTACACTATGCAGGAGGGAGAGGTGAAAGAAATACATCTTTCTTTGGTTGTGGCACTGCTGTGAATCTGCATGTGATGAGCAGTGTCCATGTGTTTTCCTATGATGTTGTTGGAATGTCTTCTTTTTACCTCAGATGTTGTTTGAGTTATCTCTCTTGTTGTGTTTTAATTCGTTTAGCATAGGTTCGTGTCCTTCATTTTCCTTTCGTGAGGAACCAGAACTTTATTCCAATGATCTTTTATATTTTTGTCTCCATTGCATTTTTCCTGCGCTGATCTTAATTTCTGTTACTTTTGGATGAAGACCGCTCTTGTTTCACTTGTATCTTGAGATGCAGTGGTAATCTGTTCCTTCATGTCTTTAAATTTTTTTTTATGGTGTACTTTCTTGATTTGGACATTGACTGCTATAAACTTCCTTAGTAGTGCTTTTGCTACATCACATGGGTTTTGATGTTTAGTGTCTCCATTTTTGTTTTATCAAGAAGAACTTATTTTTTCTTATTTCCTACTTAATTCCTTTGTTGTTCAAAAATAAGCTGTTTATTTTCCATCTATTTGTATGGTGTTTAAAGTTTTTGTGTTTGATTTCTAACTTGATTCATTATGGTCAGAAAACAAACTTCCCATGAATTCAGTTTCTAAAAAATTGTTAAGACTAGGCTTATGAGCACTCATAATCTATCCTAGAGAATGTTCTATGTGCTATTAGGTAAAATGTGTATTTAACAGCTCTTGAATGTAATAATGTGGGTATTTGTTAGGTCCATTTGGTACCAGGTGCAAGTTAACTTGTATCTTTCTTACCTAGTATTTTTGCCAATTTTCTGGAAGGCCCTGAAATCTTCCCATCTGTGGTGCTCACTTTCATTCTTTTTTAGCTGTAAGCAATCTGACCAGGTGTGGCTGCAATCTACAGCACAAGTGTAGATATGGTGTTAGCTACTACTGTTTTTCTTTCTTTCTGCAGATACTGTGGGCTAGTGGGACTTTAGCCTCTTCCTAAGTCTGCAACTTTTATCATCCCAGTTCTTTAAGGAAGAAAATCTGCTAGAGTTTGAGTAGGAATGGGTTGTGGCCAGAGGTGGACTTAATTCTTCTCAACTGAGTTGTGGGGATAGCTCAGAGGAAGAATACCCAACTCTGGAATATGTGGGCCTGGTCTCAGTTCCTAGCAATGGAAAAAACAATGAAAAGTAGATCAAAGGAATAAAACCATAAGGAAAAATGAGAGATAAAAAATAAAATTGTAAAGATAACACAAAAGAAAAAACCCAAACAATAAGTGATAAAATACATTGAAAGAGAAAACTGAGTGAAACTTGTCCTAACTTGGAAAATCAATCAGGGGTGGATGCGATGGAATATGACAGTCTAATCTCTGAGTGTCCCAGGTGTCCTGTATGGGAGGAGTAGCGGCTCATCCTTCCTTCAAATCATACAAAAATTAACTCCTGACACACTGTAACTCCATATACAATAGCTAAAATATCATGCTTTTAGAATAACTATAATGCCACTTAGAAGATATAGACTAGAATATTTGTGACCTAAGGTTATGCAATGATCTCTGATATACACAAACAGTATAACCCATACACCATAAAAATGATGAATTCTGCTTCATCAAAGTCAGTACTTCTACAGTTCAGATGATACTGCAAAGAAAAAAGACAAGTCACACACAGTGAACACGTTTGCAATTTGTATATCTGATAAAGACTTGTACTCCAAATATATCAATAATGTTTACAATTAAATCTCAAACTCACAAACAAAACAAATTGAACCAATGTCAAAAGATTTCTTGGGGCCCTTTTTTCCTTTTTCTTTCTGGGACTGCTTCTAACTATGTAGCTTAGGCTGGTCTCGAACTCATGATCATCCTGCCTCAACCTCCTGAGTGCTGGGATTCGAGGTTTTCACCACCCGGCCTAAGAAAAGATTTTAATCAGTATTTAACCGAGGAAGATATATGAATATCCAGGAAGCACATAAAAAGAAGCTCACCATGGGCTAGAGTCATCGCTCAAGGAGTAGAGGGCCTTCCTAGACAGTGCAAAGCCCTGAGTTCAAACTCCTGTAAGGTAGGGGAAGGGGGGCCCGTAAGTAGGGTGTGGGGGGAGAGGCTTACCTTTATTGAGTAGGGAAATGCAAATCTAAACCACTTCGAATCCACAATAACTGCAATTAAAATGAAAAGAAATATGAAGTGTTTTGGAGGATGTGGAGAAACTGGAACCCTTCTACATTACCAATGGCAATATAAAATGGTAAAGCAGTTTGATAGTTTGTTAAAGAATTAAACAACGATAAAATATGCTTGCCCTGTTAGGAATTTACTCAAGAGAGTGTGGCCACATTCTCCATTGCCAGGAATCCGCACCACACCAAAAGGCCTTGTTTACAGCAGCACAGTCAGGCCTGGTCGACAACAACCATGCCATTTATCAGCAAAAGTCGCCCTGCTCTGCATAGTGCCACCACCTAGCCAGGCCACACTCACCAATGCCAGAAATCTGCACCAGGTCCTGATTTCTGCAGCCAAACTGCTCCGAAATGTGCTGTCCTCCATAGCAGTGGATCTACACCTCACACTCCTCTTCTAAGATGCCATGAATCTATTCCAGGTCCTACTCTGCAAAGCTTCACCACCCCCTTAATAGTTTCTGCTCTCCATAGCCACGCGAAACTACCAGGCCCTGCCCTACACAGTCAAGCAGTTAGGTCAGTTTCTGTCCTTCCCTCTTGGGGAAAACCACCAGGTCCACTCCTTTGCATTCAGTAGTCAGGTCAGGCCCTCCTCGCCACAACCAGTGCAAATCACCAGGCCTTGCCCTACATAGTCCAGTAGTCACTGCGGGCCCTGTACACGACAGCCAGACCAAATCATCAGGATCTGCCTCGTGTACCAGTCAAAAATAACAGACTACGCTTTTTGCAGCCAGGCCAAACCACCAGGAATTTCCCTCTGGAGCCCCAAGCAAGGTCGGTCTCTGCACTCTGAAACAGTGCCACTACCTCAGGCCCTGTCCTCCACAGCAGGTCCGCATCACGAGGCCCTGCTTTCTGCAGGCCTGTCTTCACACCAGTCTCCATCCTACATAGCAAGGCCTCTCACCAAAGGCCAGTCTTCTGTTTCCTCCCTTCTCTGTCTGGTATGCTTGTCCCTAGGACTCTTCAGCCTGGGTTTACTTCAAAGGCTTTTCTTCTACAGCAGCTCACCTAAGGCTGAGGTCCTATGTCTTGAATCCCTGTCTGATCATGACACTCACAGGAGCTCTTCCTCATCCACCAGTCTTGGTAAATTTATTTCCCCTAGTGAAATGTCTTCTCGTCCTCCCCCAGGTACATTGGCTTGAGCTCTTCTTTCTTCCCTTCTGGGTTATCATCCTCAGCTCCTCTCCCTCCTCCCATGGGTTTTGTAGCCTGGGCTCAATTTCCACCCATAGCCTTGATAGCCTTAGGTGCACCTTGCTCTCTCACCTTGATGCCCTGAATTCTGTCTTTTTCAGAAGAGTTGAAATAGGGAGCATATCTCACTCTTCTTCAC